TAAAGCTCATCTGTAACCGCCCATTTATGCTGAGAAGTATCTTTACAATTTTATTAGCCTGCTTGAGGGATGCTGGAGAGAGAAACTTTACTTCTCTCTTTCATTTTGTAAAACTTTATTTTTTTTAATTTCTTTAATGTTTATTTACTTTGAGAGAGAGAGACAGAGAGCAAGCAGGGGAAACACAGAGGGAGACATAGAATCCGAAGCAGGCTCCAGTCTCCAAGCTGTCAGCACAGAGCCAGACACGGGGCTCGAACCCACGAGCCGTGAGATCATGACCTGAGCTGAAGTCAGATGCTTAACTGACTGAGCCACCCAGGCGCCCCTATAAAGCTTTACTATTTTGAAAACAAAATAGAACTAGCCATAGGACTGGGAACTCTGAGACATTTTACACATTTTGTTAAGGTTTTCTTCATCATGATTCCATCACTGAAGAAACTTATGATCTCCCTAGTATTAAAAATTATTTGATTTAAAATTTATAGTAGCTTTCATAAAAAAGTACATACCATAAAATATATAATTACTTTTGTGTCTGAGTTGGGTTTAGGTGTCACTTATTTCTCTTAGAGAACTATACATGTTACAAAACTAATGACTGTACTTAAATAGAAATTAAGTTCCACTATATTTTTACCTCTTTAAGGTGGAACTAAGGGCTGAGGAGTAAGGAGATTTACTAATTGTCATTCAGAAGCTTTACTGATATATAGTCACAATAAATGCTAGGGGTTCTCATAATGGATTTTCATTAGGATATCCTGGGGCTGAGTTAGGTGGATATTCTGCCAACTTCTCAGGGTTATGGGACATAAATCAGGAGGGATTCCATGGCCACCACAAAGACCAGTCCCTCTCATTCAAACGACACAGAAGATTCCCTTTCATCTGGGTTAAAAGCCACTATTTCTGCCAACCGCATAAAGACAAGATTGAGGCCATTCGAACAAATTCAAGTTCAGCAATTTAGCATCTAATAGATAATGAAGTGCAGTCTTTATAATCTGGAAAGTGAAATTAAATTACTGGGCCAAATGTTGAAAGATAAGGCTTTATGGTCTGGAGTTTCGTAGGTCCTTACTTTCTATATTTTGTTCAGTGGATACATGAGTATCCTTGTTTATTGTGCATGACAAAATTTACAAAACACAAGGGTCTTCCAATATCATGTGTTTCATTAAAATAGACTGAGTTGATCGTCATGCTGCAACCCCCCCACCCATCCTTTTTTATTTTTATTTTTATTTATTTTGGGCAAAAGCAAAATGAACACCAGTTTCACTTAGTGCTGCTAGACACTTGTTATGCGATGTAATTCTACAATTTTATACATAATTTGTTTCTTAACGCTAAGGTTGAAGTCTCCGAAGTTTTCTGGCAGCACTTGAAAAAATAAAAGGACGTGAACTGATTTGTGCTGTGAGAATGCTTCACTCAGCATCTAAATTTGGATCTTAATTGATAGTGCACTGTCATTCATTCTGGATTTCTTTCTTCTCTCATGGAGCCAGATGTATCTTATTTTGTACCCTGATAGAGCACGGAAAGACAATGGTGTCACAGCTGGTTTCTACCTAATACAGAGTTTCTTAGAATTTATATTTCTCCTTATGGCAGAAGAAAAAGAATAGAAAATACTTTGATTTTTTAAAGGCAATTTAAAAACTCATTTTTATCTAAAGTAGCTGTTGTACAGGGGCGTCTGGCTGGCTCAGTTAGAAAATCATGTGACTCTTGATCTCAGGTTTGTAAGTTAGAGCCCCACACTGGATGTAGAAATTACTTAATAATAAAATCTTAAACAATAAATGAATAAAATAGTTTTTGTACAGAAATCATATTCTAATAAAATATAATATATGCATATACTTTAGAGGGAGATGCTTTTATGAACGATTTGACTCTGTGTTAATATATTTTATGAGAAACCAATGATGGTTTCCTAGAAGAGTCTGACTCCTCAGTCACCTGAATGTTATGTGCGTGATATTTAATGATATGATTTTCTGCAATATCCTTATTAAAACTAGTAAGTTGAAAACCAAATCAACAGTTGAACACACTATTTAAAAATTACATTGTTTCAGAGCACCACACTGTACTCAACAACCACTCATTTGACTCTTCTATTTATCTAAGCATCCTGAAGTTTACCCTAAAAGGATAGAGGAATCAGAGTTGGTGGTGGTGGTGTTTTTCCACCTTTCAATATTTACCTTGGAAATGTTGGATACTCTAGAGCCATCCATTTATTTATTTATTTATTTTCATTTTCAGTAACTCCCATTCTAAAAAAGCCTTTCTTTTCCTTCTCCCATGTAAATACCCTTCTATTGTCAAGTAATTTGCCAGCAATCTACATTCAAAATTTCATAGTGTGCAGTCTCAAATATCCTGACTTTTAACTCTTGGATTATGAGGGCTCAGAGCAATCATGGACTGGCAACATTTTCCTCCTCAAACACTGATCTACGTTCTAAGATCAAATGACCTATTTAAATCTTGGGAAAAGATGTTACTTGATTACAGAATATTCAGAATATGAAGGATAATTAGCAAAGCTGTATCAGGGCCTGTGTGCATGAGCTATACAAATTCTTCTATCTTGTCACTGAGAATGTATTTGCACACATTCAGAAGAATTTAGGTAATTGATGTAATCATCACGTATATAGGATTCCTGAGTAGAAAATGTTGATTCTTCTTTCTAAAACATCTTCGATGTTTCCCTGAAGCAAACTGCATACCTTACGTAGGAAAAATATATATGTAGACACACACACACACACACACGCACGCACACACATACACACTATCATCAGGTTGCCTGTCATCAGGTTGCCTTAACTTGGTTAATTGCAAATGGCATATTTTTGGTGCACATTATTTAAGAATACCGCCACTTGGATGCCTTTGGATAGAATGAAAAGAGCAATTGGCATAGAATTGTGTTTTGCTACAAGGATATATACCAGATGTTTAAACAGTCATATGAACCTTCTGCAAGGACCAAGAAGTCCACAGTGTATAGATGGTCTCTAATACATCTGTGCAGCTGCTGTACTGAAGGACCAAAAGCCAAGTACATTATGCAGAGCAAATACAGACACCACTAATCATAAATCTCTACATACATACATCTAGATAATGCATTTATAGCATTCCACCTTTCAACCTAAAAACCTGCAATGAGGACCTTTGGTCAAATTTATTGTGAAAGTCAAGTTTGGCTTAACCAGTGTTTCATCAATATATTTTCTTCTAGAATATATTCGTTAGAGCAACTATAATCTCCTATAAGACCAGAAGGTATGCTTTTTTACCTAACTTTTTTGAGTTCACCTTTCATTCTAGTTAGAATTTATCAACCTGTTCAGCCAACCCTCGCAGCCAAGGGGAATTGTGTGCTAGGACTAACTCCATAAGAATTATCAGCTCAGAGTGAATGGAGGTTCAGAGTCAGCAAAGAGAGAGCTCAGTGAACACAAATCAAGTAGAGAAGGCAGGATTCTTTTCCCTCTTGGCTTATACCACTCTTCTTTGTACTAACACTCGCTGAATATTCCTTGGTGGGTTGTTTGTTTGTTTGCCTTGTGATCCGAAGCTTGGGAATATATTAAGTACATTCTATATTGAACAGCTTGGCCAGTGACAACCAACACGTGTTTTCCCTTTTCTTGGGTCTTCTCCACAGTAACAGTAAAATGTGAATTGTGTTCCTAACAAAGGGAGGTATGATACAAGGGCAGAAAAGGCTACTAGAGAATTGGTGATCAAAAAATAGAGGTAAAACCCTTGTGTGGTCTTATTCATTTGCTTCCCCTTCATTCCAGTTCTCTGACCTACTTTGCCAGCAATGATTTATTTTCCACACCTGGAGATCACAAAACCCTGGTGTGAAGTCCAGTCTGCAGTTAACCGTGAGTATAGAAGCTCCCCATCCACTAGGTGATAAAGTTTTCTCCAGTTTGGGCATCACTTACATCACCAATGAGGTGGCAGATTTCAAGGGCTAGGAAAAATAAAGTGTCTATCTTCGTTTTGCTTCACATCGGATAAAGACAGAAGTCACACACATACTATGTTAACATATCAGGAGAGTGCTGAGGTACCAGTAACCAGCAAGTTCCTTTTTTTACCTGAAACCTAGTGTATGTTCTCATACCTAAAATTTCTCCAGTTCTTTAAAGTACCTTTAGTGAATTACCACTGTATTAGCATTGCTATCTCTTGGTATGCACACATCCATCATGGCAAATCCATACTCACACATCTTTACAGCTCTGCAATCTGCATTTGAAAGAAGAGAGTCAGCTCTTTCAGAAGGATGGAAGAAACCATAAAGCAAGGAGGTTTCTGTCATGTTAATAACCCAATATTTTGAAATTCCGGGTTTGCAATGCACAGCCTTCCACCTAACAGTGAAATTGGAGCTGGCCATCAATCATAAGCTGAAATTTCTTTAATCATATTTCATACAGATCATGTGTGACTTAAGGACAAGAAGCAGGTCTTGTCCATTGTGTACCCACGGCACTACGATCAGTGTTTAAAACATAGAAGGGCATTAATAATTATTGTGGAATTGAATGGAATTTGCTGATAGCACCAAAAATTATTTTGCAACTTGGATAATTTAGAATACCTTCACGTTCTCTTGTTATACTTTAGCTAGCCAGTAGAATTTTACTTAGGAGACAGTGAATAAATTATACTGAAACTTTCTTCCAAGTGGAATTGAATTTACTTCACAAAATCATTATTTTTTAATCTGAGCATTCTACAAAGGGTGATCCTAATGAGAAGGAAAAAAAATACCACAGCATCCCTGAATATAGATCCAACACTCAAGTCAGCTAATGAAATAGGACCCCATAGAGATTGATGCTGTGACTGAAGAATACAATAATTTGTTTCTTTCTTAGAAAGTAGAAAATCTAATTACCTTCAAGTTTCTCACATTTGAGCCATACTACAAATGAGTTGTGTCCAGGTACAGAAAAACCAACAATATTTTATTTATAACCTTATGTTTTTAGTTTTTGAACTACAAATTCTGATTCTAGAGTTGTTTAAAAGATCATGGGTTTTATAGATGCTCATATGTAAATTAATCTGTTGTTTGCTTACGTTTTTTTTTTTCTTTTTTTTCTCTTTTTTTTTCTTTTTGCTTGGCCATTGAATGGTTCTCCTCATAAATACAGAGCAGGTCATTACATGAAAAATATAAGATCTTACATTTTTTTTATCTCGTTCTCTCTTAAAAATCTATTTCTAATATTGCATTCCCCATTGGACTACTCAATAAGGGCATGAGAAAAAAAAAGGAAAGGGAAAAAAGAAAGAAAGACAAAATAGACTGGATCTCACCACTAGAATTCACCATAAAAATCTCAAAGTGTAACAGAATTCTTACAAAATTTCCTAGGCCAGTTCTTTAGGGACTTGAGATGTCCTATGAAAAATATGGCAACCAGGGTAGGCAGGGATGAAATGTGGGAAAATAGTAAATAAGTGCAGCAAAAACAGGTTCTGAGGAATACACATAATTTTGTCTGCTTTAGATCACAATAGAATTTTTAATAAATAAATTTCTTTTCTTTTTTGTTTTTTTTGTAAAGACACTTTTTTGAAACAGTAGATTTAGCCCAGTCATTTGTGTCATTTTTAATAAACTGTCTTTTTTTTATTGTTTGTTTTCTGTAACTCTGTAAATGTTTTAGATTTGAGTCTCTTGTACATTGTCTTTAGAGTTCATTCGGATCAATAACGGTTCATGCACTGAACTGTGTATTGAATTTATTGTGTTAACTGTTGTTGTGTGGTTGAAGGGAGATTTGTAAGAGTTATAGTGATTTAGGTGCTCATGCTCAATAGCAGGCATGGGCAGGTGGCTTTCCATGGGTGTGTCTCCTGTAATCTCATCATCCACATTAATGATTTCAACAGTTCTTGTAGGGGCGTGATGGTTTTGCCGATGGTGCTGCTTCCTCATCTTATAGAAAATGACCAGCATCACTGCAGCCATGAGTGTGATGGCCACAAAACAGCCAATGATGATTTTGGTGGTCTTCATGACCTCATCAATTCCTGGGATCCCACTGTTTATATCGGTCACTGGGATGGTGAATGTTTTTTCTGTTGACCTTGTGCTCTGTGGCGTGAGAGAGGTGGTCACGTTGGTGGTCTCCCAGTCGATCACTGGAGTGGGGCCCACGTTGTTATCTGTGGTCCGTGCCTCATCCTGAGAAGGTTCCATAGTCTCTACTGTGACGGTTGAAAAGTAAGAGAAGGGAGTAGTGGTTGCTGCAGTAACATTCAGGGTGGCTGAAGCAGTGGTATTTCCAACGGAATTACTCACCATACACGTGTACATGCCTGTATCTTGTACGGTTACATTCGTGAAATTTAATGTGCCGTCACTGAGCACAGCTATCCTCACTTTGTATGCCCCATGTGTCATGACCGTTCCATTTGGAGTAATCCATGATACAGAGGTCAGGGACGTGGAGGCCCGACACTTCAACTCAGCTGCCATGCCCTCAGTGACATTGAGGTCAGCTGGGGGCTCCACAATCACAGGAGCATAGCATGTGAAATAATTCTGGTCAAGCTCCCCGATGTACCTCCCTTTCAGATTGGGAGGGGTGTTACATCGAGCACAACAAGCTGTGTTGGAGGGGGCCATGTCTTTTATCCACCAGCTGAGCCAAAGTATGTCACAGTTACAGTTCCAAGGGTTGTGATGTAAGTGTATCCGCTCTAGATGATGCAAGGGTGTGAAGAGGTCATGAGGCAGTAATGTTAGATTGTTGTGTGCCAAGTTTATCTCCACTAGTGACTGAAGGTTATCAAAGGCATTCCGTTCGATCACTTGAATCTGGGACTGTATCATCCACAGTTTTTGAAGGTGCATCAGTCCCTGGAAAGAGCCAGGCCTGATGGCCGACAAGTGATTCCCAGAAAGATCCAGCTCATCTAGTTTTATGAGAGGTGTAAGGTTAGGGATTTCACGGAGGTTGCACATGGCAAGGTTCAAATATCTCAAGTTGGACAGACCTTCAAAGGCACCTTCTGAGATGTATGAAAGCCTTTTCAATTCCCCTAAGTCTAGTCGGCGCAAAGAGGGGATTCTGTTAAAAGCATAAGAAGGAATGCTTTCAATGGGGTTGTTTCTCAACCAGAGCTCCTTCAGTTTAGACAAATATACAAAAGCTCCATTTGGGATGGTGGTAAGACGATTGTCAAAGAGTTCCAGAGTATTGAGGTTTGCCAGACCATTGAAGGCCCCGATTTCAATTGTTCTAATATGATTCCTACTCAATTGTAGGATTTCCAGGTGCCTCAAGTGCTTGAAGCTATTCACTTTGATGATCTGGATTTGGTTCTCATGGAGGTTCAGCAGTCGAGTGTTGGTGGAAATGCCATCTGGAACCTCACGTAGGTTTTTCCGGACGCAAATCACCTTGCTGAACTGGTTGCTGCAGGAGCAGACAGAAGGGCAGGTTTGAGCCCGCACCAGACCAGCCACCACAAGAAGTTGAAGAGCCAGCAGCACCACAAGCAGGGGGTCGAATAGGGCCCTGTTAAACCTAGGACCTATCATTATCTGCTGTGGATGTAAGGTCATCTTGTTCAACATTCATAATTTATCTGGTGTTGGTCCTTCTGGAGTTCAAATAGTCTGCAATATAAGAGCAAAAAGAAAAGACAAAAAAAGAAAAAAAAGTATTAGCTCTCCTCCAAATGTCTTTCTGGAGCAATGTCAGTGATGCAGTGTAACAGCTAAAGCTATCATTTCTCAGACTAAGGAAACAACAAATCAAGTATCCCTTGTAGAGTGATGCGGCTCATGTTTATATAGAAAATGTTTCTGTACTGCAAATTAGCAGCCATCCACAGCCCATATCCATCAAATATGCAATCACAGGGAAATGGAAGCATGAGGTAAAACACCTTAATATAGTGTTTACCGACCAATTAGGACTTGAATGCATAAGGACATATGAAATGTACCCCAACAACAGGTTGAATGTCCAAACCAGATTGGAAAAGATCAGAAAACAGGATTTGGGGCTATACCCAACAAACTAAAAACTCCCTTGCAAAATTAGTAATAGTTGAATTTTATTGAGGGCTACTTTTAGGCACCATGGTATATAGACTTACCAACTTATCCAGGAATGGCTGGCTACATAATTTTCAGGGCCCTGTACCAAATGAAACTGGGGGATGGTTTGTTCAAAATGATGAAGAATTTCAAATCCATAACAACAGAGCATTAGCCAAGCATGGGCCCTCCAAAGAATGGGGCCCTTTTCAATTGCAAAGGTTGTGTGTCCTGATCCTTTCTGCCCTTACAGCACTCCTCTGAGGGAGAAATTTAATCATAGGGAAAGTAACATGAATGAAGTCACAAGGTTAGTAAGTACAGAACCAGGGCTCACACACATATCCGATTGGTCCAAGAGCATATGGTCTCAAATACTTTATGCAAGAGCTTCTGGGAGAATGATGGCAAGGCAAAATATTTTTTCCCAATTAATTTCTTTAAAATACTGTTTTGGGCAGGGGTGACCTCATCTGTAAACCCTGGCAACTTGACTTATAGTACCTGTGAAGATATACTGAAACAGCGGTACATGCAAATGTACATAGACTTTTGAAGATTCTCCTAAACTGAAACTCATTATAAGATAGCTAACTGCTACCTATAGGCAGACATAATACAAATTAAGTCATTCCTATGATATCTAATTTTTAAGTACAGAGAATACCTGAATATAAAAAAAAATATTTTTTATCTTGGGTCCTTACTCTGACTGATTTTAAGTAGATTTGGGTGAAGGGAAATAAAATAACTCGCTTTCTGCATTTCTTCCAGCACAAGGAGGAATTTTAAAGGATCTTGGGCTACCCAGTGTACGTCCCACTCAGCTGGCTTACTATGAACTGGGCACCCGTGTAATGACTTCTTCCAAATGTCTCATCTCAATAAACAGGGTTTCTTCTATAAACCTCTTGGAAACAAACAAATGACGAAAGTGATGGTGGATCACTACACTCCAATTCAAAACGGCACTGATTTAGTACTTACTATGTGTCACTTTGGACAAGTTACTTTTCTTCTTTCCATGACACATTCTCCTCACTTGCAAAAGAGGAGTAACAATATTACACACCCCTTGATGGTGTTGTGAGGATAAAATTGGTTAATGCAGATAACTCAGAATATTCAGATATCAGAATATTTAGATAACTCAGAATAATGCTTCCCACGTTGTAAAAACTCAGTAGTGTTAAATATTATCATTATTGTTGTTATTGTTATTACTATCATTACCATTTTTGTTGTTGCTCTTACAGACATCTTGCCGAGTACTGGGCATATAAAGATGAAGAATATAATCCTTATGCCTGAGGTAGTTATGATTCAAAGCTTGAGACAGATAGGCAAACAGATGAAGTACAATAATATATGTTCATTGGTATGAGACCAGGCCACATTGGCACAAGGGCACTGATACCAGATCAGCTCAATCTGTGCTGGTAAATCAGAGGATTTTCGAAGAAGAAGATTATCTGATCTAGGTTTTATAGAAGTTGATGTAAATTAAAAAAAAGGGAAAGAAAAGCATTTTAGGCAAGCACCAGCTTGAACCAAGCTAAGGACACATAAAAGATGCTCATACATCCAGGGAACAGTGAAAAGTTCCCTGTGGCAGGAGAACGGAGCGCCTGGGAGAGAGACTTCTTTCCTCAGGGCTGTTGCAGCTCTAGACTGATCTTTCACACCATCTAGCACATGATCATCAGCCCCTGGGCCTATTTTCCCCACTAGCCTACAACACCATGAGGACAGAGGCCATGTCTGATGGTTTTTTCTCATCCCACTGCCAACACAGTACCTAGCACACTGTAGGCACTAAATAATGGCTGTTGCAAACGCACAGAAACAGTTAATACCTAATTAACAACTCTTTGTATATGCGTTGGGATAGGTACCAGTATATTAATCACGACTTTCTAATGGTCTGTATTTTCTGATGTTTTGATATGCAGGGCTTTGTTGTTCCAGAGAGACTTCTCCAAGGGCTAGGCAATTTCTAGGGATAGTAAAGGACTTGACCACAAGCCTGCCTTTCATATTCAAACCAATCAACCTGAAGCCTAAGCCCCAAACCACCTCATTTATCAGGATCTCCCAGGGCTCTTATACTTGGGCCACTCTCCCTCTGCCCCAATGATTCCAGAGCTAGAATCAGGCACCTAGGGACAGCCCCTAGGTCCCAGAATCCACTGAAATTATTTATACTAGTCAAATGCAAGCCTGCTTCCTCTGCCTTCTCTTGCTTTCTCTCAAAAACCGTGATAAAGACTCTTGCTCAGATTTTCCCTTGTTCTTTCTACCCCCTGGTGACCCTGCTGCTTCCTTGTGTGGCCCCTGTGTGGCATGGCATGCTCCCTCCTCTTGGGAACTAGGAGTAAAACATATATCTCTTCAATGACAATTGTCTCCTGATTTGTTTGTCCCATCATACCGAAATAATAATAAAATCTACATTTAAAACAACTAATCACTAAATAGCAGGGCTCTGCTCATCTTATTAATCTCGTTGATGGCTTTACAGGTCTATTCTATTGTCCCACTTATACTGTGACAATGATGTGTTTGATAGGTTTTTCACCCTGAGTTAGAGAAGGAGTTATTTTTTATTGTAAATTTAAACATGACCTTCAAAACCCTTGTAGATTTCCATTTTAAACAGAATCCTACTTAAATTTCCAGTGATCATGGCCACTGAAAATTTTCTATTCATACGATTTGGTATAGTTTTACATACGCTCCACACGTTTTAAGGTAATTGGGCATTAAAAAATAGAACATAAAATCTCTGATACATTAATTGGTGTTTTTAAAAATTTTTTATTTATTTACTTATTTTGAGAGAAACAGAGACAGCACGCGAGGGGGAAGAGCAGCGAGAGAGAAACAGAGACAGAATCTCAATCAGGCTCAGCACTCAGTGCAGAGTCCAACAAGGGGCTTGAGACCACGAACCATGAGATCATGACCTAAGCCAAAACCAAGAATCAGACGCTTAACTGAGCCACTCAGGTGTTCCTAACTGGTGTTTTTAGGTGAGGGTCCCAGGGTCCTGCTCCTCTATTTTACCTCCCACCTCCCACCCTACGACTCTTAGAATCCTAGGGTCTCTGGCAATACAGGTTGAAATAACTTATTGACCAGAAATAGTACAGAAGTGAAGAAGGTAAGCCTTTTGCTTAAGACAAACCATTTGTTAACCTTTTTTCTTTAAAATAAGAAACAGCAAAGGCATCCATGTCCTGTAATCAAGGGAGAAGACTCTGGTAGACTTCCTAAAGTTAAATGCCTGCTTAAACTTGCAGGACTCTACAACTGAGAAAGTTACTTTACGTCTCTTACTTCACTTTCCCCATCTGTAAAAGGGGGACACCACTGTTATCTACTCAAAAGGTTTTTGTTGGCACTCACATTATTAATGTATATACATGTAAATATATACATATATATGTAAATTAATATATATTAATGTATATATGTATGTAAAGTCACCAGCTCATAAGCAATATATAATAAATATTTAAAACATACTGAAAATAAAAATAAAGTGATGGGACACTCAGTTTTTTCCTCTTATATAAATAAGAGTAACACTAATATCTATTATTCAAAGTTATGGAAAGGATCAACTATAATGATCAGAAGCATGCTTTCATATGCAAATACAACACCTTTCTCTTAATTGTAGAGTGCATGTGTCTCTCCTTTTCCAATCCCCAGGCTGTTTTATTTTCTACTTCTTGCTTACTTCAAGGTCTTTTTGCTATTGCTATTAATGAGATTTCCTATCAATCAGTCATAAGTAACGATTTATGAATTATAGCTGGTTCAAAGCTAATTTATAACCCATAGAAAATAACGCTTGGTACATGCACTGAATCGAATAAACTGCTATCAACAAAAGGTTTTCTATTTTAAAATCTAAATTACGTTACTTTACATTAAAAGCCATGTTTCAACATCTCTCTCATAAGATGTTTTTATCCCATCAAAAAGAAATCAATTTAAAAGTACGCGCTATCCATTACAATGTCCTCTGACAGCATTTATTTACAAATGGATCTGTTTGGGTTTGGAATTCAATGATAATACTTTTAGCCTTGTCCCAGAGGATATTCTGACTTTGTCAACAGACCTTTCTTCTTTCCCTACCCACGCTGCTGTGCACTGAGACACAGGGGGTGCTTTAGTCAGCACAGTATCATTGCTCAGTTAGCATAAACTGTTTACATATTGGAACTAGTTTGGAAGCCAGCTGAAAGAAAGATGAATTTATTAGCTACAACCAACTTTCCCTCACAGGCCACACACTCACAGCCATATGTATCTTTAACAAGCCCCCCCCCACATGCTGAGAACCAAAACCATTTCCCCACACTCAGCCTGGATACTGAGACCTCCAAACCGTATCTTCCTTTCTACTGACATAAACATGACTTTGCTCTTCCATTATCTTTATTAGCATCTCTATCCTTTATGGGGGGACTTTCTTGTCGAAGCAAATGGTTTCACTGTCCTTCTAGGACAAAGATCCAAAGATCCATAGTTCCATAGATCCATAAGTTCTTTCATGGAAA